AAGACCCTCTTTCTCTTAAATAAATTATTTTATGTTTTTCAAGCTGCATGCCATAGTAACGTTCTTTTTCTATTATCTTATTCTTATGTTTACAACAAACATCATTTTTTATGATGATTACTTAGGCAATAAATTTAATTCTTCTCTTCGTTAATAAGTTTATTTTATTTTTATAGACTTAACGCTTCAATATTGACTGGAATTATCTTAGTCTCTTATCTGCCACCAATATTTTGTTTAATCCTGTGCTATTTTTGCCAAACATTTAGTCGGCCTGAATCCATTCTCAAGACGAACGTGTGTTTGACTACTCAAAACCCTTCATCTTCAACAACGGCTTCTAATCCACTGCAAACTCGTTTCGTCACTGACCCCTATACTTATTGCCAGTCCGTTCCACCGCGCGCAGAGCCTGAAAGCGTCAGCTTAACTTCTTCTAGTGGCAGTGAGCATGTGCCTCCATTATGTCTTCCAGCTTCGTATGCTTTAACCTCAGGCTCTCCTGGTCTTAATCCTGCGAACCCATTAATACCTCCCAACCCAGTTAAGGTCGCTGCTTTATCAAGCAGGCCAAAATTGTCTGGTTCACTCGGGTCACTCTCCGTATCCATTTCTATGCTCTCTGAGGCTACTATTGGTTCACCAGCACCATCCTCTTCGGAAGATGATGAGGTTGACGAAGAAAGGACCGATGCTTCATCTTTATTCGCCTCCTCAGATGTCACTGTGCTACGCATTTTACGTCCACTAAACGCCGATGATGACAATGAATGCGCCGCTGACTCAGTGTCAGTTGTCACAATGTCTGAATCTCCCAAAAAGGTGGTAGTTGCGACAGGGCCTTTACAAAAAACGTTAGAATCAATGAACGGAAAGCGACTTTCACACCTAACTCCAAATTGTGGTACCATCGATTCTGAAATTGAACAGACATATGCAGAGCTTCTCTTTTCAACAGCCTCTTCTCCTCCTAATGATGCTCATGTTCTAGAGAAGGTTAAGGAAAAAGAAGACAGTAAGATTGGCATTTCTCAATTACATGGCTTGCCTTTGTATGAATGCGTCAATCTGGCTCCGCTGGAGCCATCAATTTTGCAAATGATTCAGGATAAAAAGGACTTTGGAAACATTTACTTAGCTGACGCAAACACAGGACAAAGTATGCCAGAGCGCAAGGACGGTGTTTGTTTGTTTCCTCTGTATGAACATCATACACATTGTCTGCAGACTTCTAAACAAACTGATCAGCCTTCCTATACAGGATTTGCCCTGACTAGGCCAGCAGTAAGTGCGGTTCAAGAAGGAATCTCATCATATGTGTCAACCACTAGCATCGGTACTAGTGCTGGATTAATTTTTTCTGCAGCTCCAACAGAAGACGCAACCAATTTAAGGTCGGGCTCGCCTACCTCCACGACATATGAGTCTATATTGGATGTAAGATTTCTTTTCATTTGATGGATATCAACGA